GCCAATAGTTATAAGGTAACTTAGCCTAAATTCCATTATGAGATAAAAATCTGAGTGAAATCTTTTTTACATTTATAAAATTAATAACTTATTTTGTATTTATTACAAACAACAGCTACAACAACAGTACGGATATTGTCTGTTAGTTTTTCGTCAACGAACTCTATCTAAAAGTAAGTTAATTATGAATGAATAAAAAGGAAAAATCTATAGCAAACACTATAGTAGTTACTAAAAACAATTAAACTGCTGTTAATTGAACAAAAACATCAAATTAACAAAAATTATTCAGCTTTAAACATAATTAATCCTAAAATTGAATATCATAAATAATTCAGTTTTATAAAAAAATATTTTACAATACTGATATATAGAACAGTTCCATTTTTAAACAGCTTATCTTACTATAATATTTTATGTAAATATCTGAATCTAGGCGTTATTTTATATTTCCTCGTGTGAATGAAAATCAAAATGCCAGTATTTAAATTAACCAATAATATTTTAACACATAAATTAACATTCATTTAAACATTTCCTTGTTAATTAAATCAAGTAAACATTGATTAGTTTTCATATTTGTTTCGATTTAATTTAAAAAAAAAAGCATAGAAAAGCTTGTAAATATTTATAAGTTGATCGGAAAAGATCAATCTATTTTAAAAGAAAAAAATTCCGAGAGCTAATTTTCTAACCTCAAAGTTTATTATGGTTGGGAAAATGTATTTTTGTTTACACTGATCGGCATTTGTTTGAAGGATTATTCACTTAAAATAGTGACGAAACAGGCCTCCCAAGGCGGTTAGCGAAGGCATCGCGGAGTCAAAGCACCGACCCTGTCGGCGGTCCGGGACCTCCGCAACATTATTTGCGACACGTCACCACCGACGACCACAATAACCGAACCCAATCCGTCCAACTACAATTAAAGCCAACCCATACACCTTTAAAACGTCCACATAAGGTTCACAAAATACAAAGTATTTGCAATTTAAATTCAGTCGGTTTTACTCTTTACGGTCATAAAGACACCCTATCGGTTTTCCGCAGTTCTAAGAATTTGTATTGATTGTTCGTATTTCGGTGACAGACGAACGGATATGTATCTGTACTCAAACGCTTCGTAACTACACAAATATAGACTTCCCGTGTCGCCGAGTCAATAGTCTTGCTCGAACATCCGTTGGCACGGAAAAACTTTGTTAGCAAATGGGAAAATTAAAAGTATGCCGTGACTAAGATTTGTTTTACTATACAAAGTTGTATGTGATATAACATCTAGTTACTAAGTGTAAATTTAAATTATGGATCTTATGTTCTTTTGTTTTACGCATATTTGAATTTGGAATTCGCATTAATTAGGATATGAAAATGGCAGTTATAGTAAATTTTTAAAAATAAATCTAGTTTTTTTTTTAAATTGGTGAATTGAAATAATCGCCACACCTGCACCTAAACATCTGTCTTTAAATAACATTTATTTACACTGGCAAAGCAATCAACAGGTCGTAAAAAAGCTTAGTGTTGCAGCCCAATTGTTGTCTAATAGCGTTGAAAATTAAGCGATCAATTTTGTATTTACGACTAGCTCACACTTCGACGTCGTAACATTTGTGTTTATGCATAATTTTATTAGATACCTACCACACGGTCGCCTGCAGTTTTATTTGCGCATATCGATATCTGATTTTTATGTTAAAATTCAGTTATTTTGCATTTTATATTTATAATATTGTTGCATTTTATCGACCATTCCGAATATAGAGGTGATTCATAATACGAGTAATGTGCATTAAATATTGTACAAAAACTTACTGTATAACAATAATTAAATATTATTAGATCAGTTTTTATTAATAGTTTACTCTTTACTTTACTCTACTTTCTTACGATCAACGACTACATACAATTCATAAAGGCCTTTCCACATTAATAGTAGAAAGTTGATTTCAAATACGTCTAAGAACTAAAAACAAATTAATATTAGAAATGTGTTCAAACAAGGTTTTATGTAGTAAAAATGTTAAACAAACATTTGATTATGTACTAAAATTAAGACAGAAATTAAACATTGGCTCTCTTTTTTAACTAGCTGTTCCCGGGCGACTTTATCCGCATAAAATTATAAAAATTCCATTTTATTGTTTACATTTGTCAAATGACCAATTGCAAATGTCAAAATGACATGACATATGACAAACCTTGGCAACCTAAGTATGTTGGCAGCTTATAGTTTATGGTCCCTTACCCACATGAAGGTTTTTTCCAATTTACTTATCCCTCAAGTTTAGTAGCGTAAAAACATATAGCTTAATGTAAGTCGTAACTGCAGGACTTTTTATTAAAGAACTAATTTTTCAAAAATATGCTGTAATTGCTGACGTCTTACGCCACAAAGTAGTGTGTGATTACGCTTTATTATATTAGTATATAGTATAGATAAATGGAAAATAAAATTGTTATCAAATCAGACATGAAGGTAATAATGTGATAAATGCTTAGACAAATCGGAGATATTTCCTCTAATATGAATGAAAACTTTTAAGAACGTTGTCAAGAATAATATAAGTTTAAATGTTAAAGAAATAACAATAAAATAGCTTTAGGTATCGATAATGATTGAATGCGTTTTGTTCGAATGTTGTAACATAATACAAGACACATTTACCTCTAATGGTGTTAAAAAGACGTGTTAAATACGATATTTATTGTCGATGAATATGAAAATACATCGTGAATTATGTGTTCTCAAGATAAAAGATAGTGGCCTCGAGTGTTTCGCACCGACCTTGCTAAAGTGTCAACGTATTTTAGGAGACAAAAGATTTATCCTTGTAATTATTATGATAACTTTCCGTACTTGGATCGATGTGAGAATGGAGATGTTAATATAAGATAAAAAAAAAAAACATTTTAGAAGAATCTTTAACATTTAGTGTTCACATAGTTGTTGGTTGTTAAGTGGTTTTTGAAATATGGAAACCTGTTACATAACAAAAAAAGAAAACTCATTACTTGTTTTATTAAGCACATGTAAGTAATGGAAATATCTTAATATTGACATAAAACAACTTAAACTTTTCCCCTCATTAAAACACTGAATGTTAATCTTAAAGTACTAAGTGTTAACTTAACTTATACTTAAAGGGCCTCACTTAAAGCGAAAGTTTAAATGGATGAATGTTTGTTAAAGTTTGTAGCTTAAACTGCTAAACGGATCTTGGTAAATTTAGCTTAGATGTGAACAATGAATTGCTTATACCGAACGCAGTGCAGTGATAGATATATCTAATGAAACATATAAAAACGTTGACGCCCACATTATAAATCAGAATGAAAACACGTATTTCACTAAACATTGTCTAACTAAATTATTTGGGATAACACAGAAAGTTACGAACCAGAGTTAAATAATTTAGTTCAGATTGACATTGAAATAATAATATAGAACTGGTTTACGAAGACGGTCAACTAAGATGTTGCCTTTTTACTTATTAATATGTCTATATGTGTGAATTAAGAAAAAAAATAACTCAGTTTCGACCTGATTCACGAATATTACACCTATCTCGCTTGGATAGATTTATTAATATCTAGAATTTAATCAATTTAAATCTGCATAAACTTATTAATATAACATGTAAATTGATTATTGAATTGTGACATATGAAGTTAATATTCGACAATAGAAAACATATGTTTGAAAACAAACAAGGAAGGAAATAACAAAAAAAAATGACATTAAATGATCCCAGTGACATTTTAGTTATAATTTATTTTGTATAAAAGAACTCGGTTACCTAAACCAATTATCTAATAAAATATCCAACACAAATATATCGAGTCATAAATTTTATGCTAATAAATAAATTAGCTTGCATCCGGGTTTTTATAAATATTTATTATGATTATTTGTATATTAAGCCACCTGTGTGTTAAGCCAATATTATAGACCTAAGAATAATTAAAATAAATGTAACAAACATAATGTAAAATTTTATCCACAACACGTTTGCTTTGATACTCTGTCTTATTAACCGAGGACTTTTATATGTATTAATATTGAAAAACCTTGAATATTTATATCCAAGGAGTAATTGAATATTTAATACAAAATGCACTAGTAGTATACATGTAAAATCACAAAAGAACAAACAATTTATATGACGTTAAATTACATAAGTTGTATTCATTATTTTTATAAGTACTGTTTAGTAACAAAATAACAAAACATTAATTTGAATCTACTGACCAAAGGTTGAGAAAAAGAGCTGCGAATTTTTTTTGATCGGGACACTTCAGTAACCGTAAGAAGAAAATTCTTTCGTAAATAAGTAAATTATATTTTACCTTTATCCCTCATAACTTCCTGCAAAGTAAACATTTAATAGGTTTATTATTTTATTGAGTCATGTGATATTTATCTTTTTGTAGATATCTTATCAATTGAATTGTATTACCTTCAATATATACCAATAGGAATAAAAGCAAAGTTTAGGTAGTGTTAATGATAACACGGCCCACCTTATTGTACCGTCTTATCAAACACTTAAGACGCTTTTATCGACCTTATCTACAGAACTATGTGAATTTAAAACAAATATTAACTCAAGGTGCAGAATACATGTCAAGTCGGTGGATTTTTCCTTCTTTTTATTCACTTATCTAAATTACAATACTTACAAATCAAGGTGCGGCGTACGTGGAAGCGGTAATGAGGCGGAACTTTAACGAATAGGTGTGTTTACCTTATAACGATTTAAGTAGCAAAAAATTGTGAATCCCCATCGAAAGGTTGCCATGTCGAGTGTTGTGCAGGCGCGATTGTTTTAAAACAGCAACGTAAATTATAACATAGTCGGGGCCGCCATTTGCATTTTTATTGTCCCCTGCATCACACCGAATGGATTAAGTCCGTAATATAACCGAGCGGTGGAGCGCAAAATTGAATTATTTATTATATCTTATAGTTTGTAAAGCGCAATTATTCGGCGGCCGTGTGGCCAAATGTCGATGTTTTTTTTTCGTATCAGTTTGATTCGGTGCGGTCCTGTAAAGTCGCACATTTGCGCTCGAAAAAATCCACTTTAATATTGTCACTATTTCCTTGTCAAACGGTCGTATCGGAGCATTTCTCGAATACGCTCCGACTTTAATAAAAGTTTTTATTATTTTCTTTAATTTCTTTTTCGGGCTAATTCAATTTTTTTTTTGTGAAAATGGTGCTCAACGGAATAGGTAAGTTTTTTTACGTTTTGTTTGTTTAAATATTTTTCTCGAATTATTTTTTAGATGTTTAGTGGGAATTTGATAAAATATAATTCGTCTTCGAATAAAATCGATGTTGATTTTAAAAGGGGTCGTTTGTGCATGATTTAATGGGGACTGTTGAAGGCTATACAAAGAATTCTCCGAGGAATCCGGTGGCAGATTGCAGATTAGTAGCATTAATCAAACGAGTTATTTGCATTGAAATTCCTTTTATGTATATTTTTTAATTGATTTTAATTCCTTTGGGATTTCATACGAAAAAGTTTTTAGACCTTTTTATATTAAATAATCGATAACTAAAATCGATAAATGAAACGCTGACAATGTTTTTTGTTTCGGTGAAATATATGCGTAGGCGAAAACCGCCGGCGGCGAGCGACGCGGCCTGGAGTGGTTTTCTTTTTAATTTAACAAGGGCGTAACGGTTAACTGATTAACTTTACTGAGGCATTGACTGGACTGTGACAGACACAGCGAATAGACATGTGATCTCGCTGCTATCTGCAGAGCGGAATACAATCGCCGTGGACGGGCACCGGGCAGCTACGGGCACGATCACTGACAGGCTTACGTGTAACAGACACAAAGAACACTCGTTCAATAGGCTAAAGAATTTAAGCTCCGCACTGCACGAAAGTTCTCACAGCATCATGAGAATGCTTTTTACAATCGATATTCAAAAAAAGAATAGCATCGATGTCTCCGTTGTCAACGGACAATTCTTTCGAAGATCGACTACTACGAAGAAAGGAATTCAAACTCTAATTTTTGTTTGGCAAGATTTACATTTGTTCGATGGGTTTTTAACATTTTATTGTTCCGTTTCAGTATTGCGTCACCGACTAAAAAGACAAAGCATGGAGCGATCGGCTCGCATTGTCCGACTAATGATGAGCCAAAACACTATTTTTAGATGTCTAGTTTTGCTGTATAAGGGCAACACTCGATCTTTGTAAAGATATTTGCTTTTATGGCGCCGGTAGCATACTAAGATTGTCGATACGAGTCTTACGGGTACATCCCTAGGGAATGTGTCGATATATCGATACTATTATCATTTTTTGTTGATCTCTAACTAATTACACACGACGACATCTACTTAGTTGTTTCGATCGATTAAAATCTTAATTCAATATGTAAGCTATAAACAACTGGAACGTTCGATTCCGCCGTGTTACCAGATGCCAGATAACTGATTTATTTCAATTAGAACGAATTGAAAAATCGTTAACAAGTTTATAATCTTATTTTTATATATTTAATATCGATTAGTTGCTTTAAATCTTAAATTTAAATAATATTTTCCTTTTTTTCATCGAATTTAAGATGACATAAAACGATACTCTGTTCCTTTAAGTTTCTGAGAAAGACCGGTTGCAAATCGATTATCTTTGAATAATGTTAACTGAATTGAAATATACGAGTAGTAGGTATAATCAATTTGTGTGACAGAAACACTTTCATTGACCACAGTGACCTTATGGTGTGTTAATTTTATTTTATAGCACAAGCAGACTAGTTTGTAAATGACCCAATATGTTAGATAAACTATGCCCGATATAACACTGTAGAAAATAATGAAATAAATTAGTTTACTAAACAATATACGAAATATTTTTTTTTTAATTCAACTCGTAAACTTTTATTTCCTAAAAGATATGAATAAATCAAGATGTTATAATACACACGTAATTGTTTTTATTAGGAAAATGTGCACAGAAGAATAAGAATTGCGTTTTTACTTAACTGTCACTTAAACATAACTTAACTGTGATTATACTTCATCGTACTTTATCACGGACATTTCATTTCTAGCAATTAATTTCTACAATTTTTCCTAAATATATGTGGAAACTTGCTTTCAGTTTAATGTTTGAACCAAGTAAATGTTTTAATTATTTCGATGGTTTGACGATTAGAATTAGCAACGCCTATCCGAATCGGTGTGGTCGTTGTTCAACAAAAGACAGCCATTGAATCTTTGTTTTTTCTTTGTCCATAAAACTTCAGTATTCGCTACAATGTCTGCCAACATACGGTTTTAGGGCCCCATTGTTGTTACGTGACACTTCTCAGTCCATAACATAGAACAATGTCTCAATAAGCTCAATAAGCTTCCCGTAGTTTCGCATAATGCGGTCCAATTTCTTAAACAATATATTTCCTAATATGTTTTGATGTTTTTGACCATTGTCACCTTTCTGCCTGTTGTCTATGTGATTGGTATTTAATATGCGTATCGGGTTTGAATGGAGTTTTGTCGATTTGTATGGCTTATTCAACGTAGTGTAAAAGAACTTTAGGAAACGTTTAACGCGTGTCGTGTCTCTTCGAATTCCGTTACTTTGAGATTATCGAGATTGCTTTTCGAACTGTTCACGTCATTTTATTTTATTCTATTGTAAAATTATTCATTGTTATTTTGTTAGGCGTAAATAACATAACTTAATTCCGTAGCGTCTATTACATTGGACGTTTCCATCTTTACTGTATACATAATTTTCATCTTCACGTGAGGCATTTTGAATCTGAATTATTTCTACATACTTAACATAAACTTAATAGATATTTTGTAGAATGTAATCACTTCTATAATATTTGATACAATTGACATTTTGTATAGATTCGTGAAACTAAAAAATGATCAAAAAAGCAGTATCTTAACGATATATCAGAATGTATTCTGTTTTTACTTTCAGTTTCGTTATGTTTTCATTTTATTAGGTGTTAATATACAGAAAACGTGTTTCTTTCATTGGAGATGTCGCGGCGGGTGAATGCTTGTAGCGACGGCTTCCGAAACTGACGATGTATAGATTAATGTTGACCAAACTATCGCTTTGATCGTCTTAAAGTGATTTCGATAGTGTAACAAAACGAATCTTTTAGAAATCTTGAATACAATTTCTCTTTTTAAACTTAATAAATACAGAATTTTATTTCCAAAATGGCCTTTAAAAATAAATATATCGGACTTGTAATACGTCGAGGAACTTGTCAATTAATGTATTCATTGTTCGCAATTGTTAGAATTTAAAATAAAACGATTATGTTATTGGTATTTAAATTGCTACGACTGCAAATGGTTGTAGGCGTGTAAGTTATATAAAAGGAAAGTAAGGTATCGGTGCGTAGCGCGGCAGCCGCGGGCGGACATAAATAACTGACCGCAACGCAAACAGGCGCCGTGTTTACTGCATTATTATATTTTATACATCGGGCGCACAATGCGCGGGCGCGGGCTCTACCGCGGCCGGCCTACATAATGACGAGCGCGAGGAAGGCGTAACCCGGTGGCAATCGGCCGTCTCGCTCGACGACGCCCCGGGCGCGCGCCTAAGCGAAACGTACGACCACAAATTTATTAAAACGTAAAAAAAAAACGCTGAACTGCTACCGCACTGCGCGTCGCCTCCACAGAACTAGATACATTTTTCCACGTCGGCGCGTGCGAGCGAGAGCCCCGGCGATGACGCCGCGGACGAGCGAGACGATAATATTTCTCAATGCTCGTCGAACGTGCAAACGGCGGGCGATGTGGGCGCTGCCGGTGTTGCGCGCGCGCAGCTACCTCGCGCTCGGGCTCAGCGCCGACCGGCACGCCGCGGCGACCGGCTCGCTTGGCCCGTGTGACCTTTAGTCGGTGAACTTAGGAAGCGTCGTCTGCTGTAAAACGTCCATTAGGCCCCCTTCGAGCGCGCGTCTCCGGTCTTCGCGCCGGGCGGGAGGGAAAAGGATGACGGGCGGTCGTCGGTGCCGCGCCTAAAGGTATTCGTAGAATGCGTGATCTGTATCGTTGTGGCGGGGTGGCGCGGGGGCGCGGCGGGGAGCGCGGCGCGCGGGGTGCGGGGCGCGTTCGGAAGCGGTGGCAGCTCCCATCGACTCCTGGGGTTATTCTTCCTCAGGCCACTGCTGTCGGAGCCGCGCACCAGACGAGCCAGTTTTTTCTATCCGCCGCGCCGCCGCAGCCGCCCGACACGACACGCACTCGTTAATCCCGCGCCAACACGAGAAGTCGACACTAATAAATTACTGTTTTTTACTGCACTCGAACAGTCTCCGCCGCGCAGCCGACTCATTTATACGTACAAATAAACATTAATCAGCAATAAACGCAGTCGTTAGCGCCGAACACAGTGAGTATTCCAAGCATTTACGCTTTTCCCAATCCACGCTCTCTTAATTTGTGCGGTTCTGATTGAACTCTGCGTCCAACCTCCGATGCTGTTCTCTGGTCTCGCTCAGAACATTACGAGATCGGAATAATAAAGATTAAGAGAGCCAGCGATTTCATTTGCAATTTAAGTGTGTATAATTCTTTATATTTCTAATTTATTCACCGTCATGTGCATGTCAAACACTTTATTTTCTATGTTAAAATAGTTTTTAAATTGTTATGTAGAATCTAATTCATATGCAAGTGTACATTTCATTAATTCCTTCTTATTTGGTAAATTATTACATTTTTTTTTTACTATAGAAGTCTCTCAGAATCGAATTTAAATCGTAAATATGATAACTTATCGATAAAAACCTATTTAAGCTATCGTGTCCACGGATATATATTATTCAAATAATCATAGATATTATCATGTAAATTGCCTTTAGCGCCTCGCTTGGCGCTAGAATTGAAAAAAAAGTTAGTCAAAATTATTGTCCTTGTTATGGGATTTTTTGTCAACAAAAACCTTGCACCCGACTTCGATGCACCATTCATTGTCCAATAGTGACCATTTTATAACGATTTATGGTTTATTTAACAATAAAAGAAGAATGAACTGGCAAAAAACGGTCTTTCGAAACGATTAGGAACCAGAGAGCGGACAGTATATTATCGATTCTTGCCTTTGTTGTAAGCGAAAATTACGAATTCCATGCATCATTAGCTCATGAAGCTATTCATAATTTATACAGAAATTCCCATGAGCTCAAACTTGTTGAAAATGCACGTTCATCAACAAAAAAGT